CAAAGCTGAATAGTTCCAACTTCTCTTGCCTTGAGTTCTTCCCAGTAGAAATCGGACGTACCCACTAGTTTCTTCTTGGATAACGCCTTCACTTTCCTTTGATGTGCTAACAGGTCCTTCACCCTTCGTTGCCATAATCCAAAATTCTCAAAGACATCAAACTGCATCGCATTGAATTTTGCAACCAAAGTATTCATCACCATCATTAAACTTGACTTTGATAGCAATTGTTATAATTTGTATGCTGATGAGCACAAAACATTTGCATAGTTATTGACCTCATTCCATGCTTTTTAACTTAAATTTGCATATTAATTATTTAGAATTAGTTAAAGTTAGGAATAATGTGGAAATTTTGATGTTACAGGTAATTATAGCATAAATGATGGTTTTTAGAGCTTTGCAACTAAGTGTGAATGTGTGGTCAAGAGATGGACACATTGAATGAGGATAAGGAGGCTTGGAAGGTGAAGAAATCAAGAAAAATACAATTTAGATGAAAAACTTCCGGAAGGTTTGGCCATAAACCTTCCGAAAGGTTTAGCCCACTGGTTTCCCAAGGTCTTAACACAGTACTACTGTTGTTCCTATGTTTGACCATGATTAACTTCGAATTTGAAAAAGTACAAAACCTAAAAGTTGTAGATCTGAATATCTTCTGTATTGTGTCAAAATTTCATCTTAATCCAACTATTGGATAAAAGGTTTTGGCAATTTTACTAAAAGTGGTCCTGAGCTATCACCTTTCGAAAGACCTTCCGGAAGGTTTTGCGTAGAATGCCCAGAACACCTGCAACTCATGCTCCATTTGTTTGGGGGTCCCACCATTGATTCTTCCACTTGTCCCCTGACATCCCTTACATATTTACATGTCCCCTACACCCTAGAAGAAGACTTTGGAGGCTTGGCATTGATGAGAATGGGAGAGGAAGGGTAAAGCATGGGGAATGCAGGCTAAGCCTGCCATACCTATCCATTCAGCCCCCTATTGATGGGAGGCCTTTCACACAGCTAGAGGGACCCCCCATGGATGAAATTTGAAGGCACACACTCCATATATTCAACATTCCACTCACATTTGAAATGGTGGCTACCTAAGCTTAGAGAATTCAAGGAAGAAAAAGATGAATAGTGTAATAGGAATTTATGTTTTTGCATTTTCCTTTCCATTTCAGTTGTAGTAAGATTTAAATATCTTGTAATCTTTATTTCTTGCACTTTAATCTTAGTTATTTCAATTTCATTGCAAGTTTAGTTGTGTAACTTAGAATCTACCATTGTTGTATGAGTTTTTTTTTCACTTCAAGTTTTTCTTAAAATGGGTAATGCATATTTTCTTCTTAGTTTAAGTTTTCTTGCATTAAGTTGAGTTCTAATATTCATTTCAATATTGTTTCTCTTTACACTATGCATTTCCTTCTTCCTTTCATGAGTAGCTAGATTTTAAGTTGACTAATCCAAGGGAGACATCCTTTTGGGTATTCCATTTCAACTCTTTTTTTTTCCTCCTCTCGGTGTACGATGGTTCGGTTTGACTAGGTTGAGGGTGAATGAGATGGTGAGCCATTGATATCCCGTAGGCCTGGTCACGATTTATGCTTAGATACTCATTCCATCTTGTCCCTAGCTTCCCACAAATCAATCGTTCATCTATGCACCATTGGAGGAAGGTTTCGAGTTGAGTTGGGATTCCTATTGGAATGACCTCTTTGGATTAGCCAACACTTGTTTTCCATTCATTTTCACCAAAAACAAAATCACAAAAACTCAAACTCAAACTCAAAGATTTTTACACTTATCCTTTTTGCACAAAATCACCTTCACATAATTCCCTTCTTTCCCTGAGGAGATGACCTTGGAATACTTTTTCAAGTAAAACATGACACTCAAAAGACTCTCTACGCTTGGGGAGCACTTTTGTACGCACACACATTTATTTTGTTCATTTCATTCCACATTATTGCGTTGCCTCATTTCTTGCATCATTCTGAGGGAGAGTGACACTCCCCTTCATCCATATTCTATACATGCTAAAAGGTGATGTTTAGAGGTTAGGAAACAACAAGGAAAATAGCAAAGCATGTGCAATGAATAATCAAAGAAACGAAAAAATTAGAAGATGAACAAAAAATTTTATGTGGTTCGACAACTTACCTATTCCCACAAGAGAGAGGCTGTTTTTATTGCACACTGAATTAGGGTTACAACTTAATATCTAGAGGTTACAACCCTAATTAGGACAAATTCCAAAGGTACATGCGACTCTCCTACTCCATTATATTCAAACATATTTTACCTATCCGTATATTGAATATAGCCACTTATTCTAATACTAATAAATGTATTTATTGTAGAAGTACGCATATCCGAGGTATATTCGAGAAGTATCTAACAATGATAAATAATTATGAATTATTTGATACATGCGAAAAGTATCCGATATGTATCAACGAGAATTCGATGAGTATTGATATCCAATATGTATCGAATACGAATACGACACCTTGATCGAATTATCCGTGCTCTATAGGCTTTGACTTTTTTTTTTCTTTTTAACATACAAATGTAGAACTTTTACTTTATGTGTACAGACGCAACTATATAAACTTTAGGATTGTACTATGGGATTGAAAGGTTCCTCTAAATAATTTTGGGCCTTAGATTTTTTTTTTTTGATTTATTTGTAATTGTTTGTCGTGAAAATAATCAAATAAATAATTTTTATTTCAAATTTTTGTTGGACCAAAAAGAAGATATAGTACTGAAAAATTATTTTTTTGTGTCATAATCGATTTTCACAAGTACATTTTCTTTAGTTATAGATCAAGCATGGTATAGTTGTGGAAACTATATTGAAGGATTGCTTTAGCATAGTAGAAAATTGAGTGAAACTATATTGGAGGAGTTCAAATTTCAGCAACCACAAGTTATGAGAACCAATTTGTGAAATTGTCCTAATGGAGGAAATCAAGCACACCCTAAAAACTAGTTTTTTTTTTTCTCAAAGGGAAGATTGCTTTTTTTTTTTTTTTTGTGTAACATTTCTTTGTAATTTGAGAAAGTTTCTTAGTCATTATTTGTCAAGCACATCCTAAGCATACTTCTTATATGCATAATTAACACTTAAAACCTTTCCCGTGGATAAGTATTAAAAGATATAAGATTAGTATCTGTTGTTTGACTTTCGTGGTATTCTCTGTGCACCCAGTGACGAATGACTTTTTCAAAGTCAAGATGTAAACACTAATCTAGTTTTACGCATGTAACATTCATGGTCATGCAGGGGTGATTTTTTCAATTGTATATTCATAATTATGGCATATGTAGATCGATTCACAAAAGACGACAACTTCCAAATGACAAAGAAGATTTTTATCTTTTCTATCAATTAAGATTCATCAAAGAAAATATTTTGGAGGGAGCTTGAATGAGAAGATCTCAATGGTGTAGTGCCTTGAGGTTATAAGAAGTCTCTATTGACTGATGGGTGTAATATGTGAATGATTGAGAATATTCGGATTTTATTGTGCAATTATGAGTCTAGAGGGTACACATTTGGGACAATTCTTTGATGTTAAAAAAAATCTGGAAATATATTAGTGTTTGAATTGAATTTTTGTTGCAAATTTAGGAATCTACGATGCTCTTTGCTCGTCCTCATATGGGATCTCAAAGGCCCTATACAAGGACAACGATATAATATAGACTGATGCTCTTGAATATTACGTAGATATAATATTAGGGTCACACTAAGCTTAGACCGAACAGCCTCTACGACATAATATATATTTGGGAATTTATACAAACCATCCTGGTAATTACATTAATTACACTACACCTATAAAAATTTCATAAATTACAATCAACTCCATTTTTTAAAAAGTACAATTGAAAGAATTGACAAAAAAAAATGTATTGTGCACTTTGGCCCTTGAGTAAAATCAAATAAAGCCTCATTCAAATCAAAATAGCTTGCCCAATTTTACCAAGGACTCGAACCTACCCAAAAAACACCCCTTCTCTCTCTCTCTCTCTCTCTCTCTCTCTCTCTCTCTCTCTCCCTCCTTTCGGCCCTAGGCCAGAATGGACAAATTCCAATTTACCCCTCATCGTTTGTGCATTTAGAAGATGAACCCCATGCTTTTAAAATAAGCGCATTAACCCCTATGCTTATGGACTAAACTGCACAACTCACTCCGTTAATGGTGACTGTAAAAGTATTGGAATAACCTCAGATATACATTTCGTTTACCCACTACTCTCAGCCATTTAGTCGAACACACAATGTCTAACCGACAAAAGAGGAGAAATATTAGGGAAAAAAACTAGAGTTCGATCTCCTTAATTAATCAAAGTTAGGGCTTCGATTTCCTTATGAATCAAAGTGAGAGCTTCAATTTCTTGATGATTTGAAGTTAGGGCTTCGATTTACCAATTAAGGGATGATCTAGGGTTTTGATTTCAACAGACATAAGAGTCAGGGCCAAAAGCAACGCCAAGATCCCATATGCGTTGATTTTTTGGTTTCGAAAAGGGTGGGCAAGGTTAGCTTATTTGGTTTTCCTTATATATTAAGTTATAAATTATGTGTGTGAATATCTGTATCACTTGTCCATTTTTGTTTTGTTTTGCGGCATATATTTGTTGTTTATTGGCTTAGTGGTCCTACCACTAAGGATTCGTATTTGAAATCTTTGGTTTTTTTGGGTTTGTGGTCCTACCAAAGGTTCCATCTGTGAGTGTATTTTCTAGTTTGTGGTCATACCACATGTTGTATGGTGATTTTGGATGGGTAAAAGGGAACAGTGGTTTCCCCACTATCATGTTTATTGTACTAATGCCCATTTTTTAATACATAATGGGTTGGGACAAATTTGCTATCGAATTGCATCATTGAGGAAAGTTCATGTGGACACCAAAAATTTGTTTACAAAAGTGTTACAATAAGTGTTATTGAAGACTGCGAACAAGAAAAATTTTGTTTGCTTGAGGTTATAGACATGTATGTATCATTAGGAGGAGATAGGGTGAATCTTGACATATATTATAAGGTTCCTAGGTACAATTTGGACATGGAACTAAAGCAAATGAGGTCAGACTGTGATGTTATTGACTTGATAAAATGTTATGACGACCTGTTAATAATTGTAATATACATTAAGAAGGGTGATGATCTACTATCTGTGTTATCACCAGATTGTGCAAGGCACACTATGGATATTGTGGATGATGAAGTTGATGTTAATGTTAATGAACATATTCAAAATAGTGATGCACTTGAGACTAATTCTGATGAGAGTGACTACGTAGTGAATACCTCGAACATGTACAGATGATACATTCAATCCATTGCATGCATGATTATGTTCATACTGGAATACAACCATTAAACCCCCATTACTCTAAAAAATACATAGAAGACCAAAAACATTGAGAAGAAGAGGGGTAGATGAGCCTAGAAATCCCCACAAGACTTCTAGGAAAACTTTAATGTCACATGCTCAAAGTGCTTAAAGATTGGTTAGAACAGACAATCATAAGATCCATCCTAAATCCAAGTTGTTGAGGGTAAGAATGATTTGTTAATATAATTTGAAGTTATACATTATTTTGTTAAACACAGTAATGCTAAATTACGTTTGGTGATGTAGAGATCCACTGTTGGCCCAATCTCCATTGTTGGTGCAGCCTCAACTACTGGTGCACCCTTCACTACTAGCGCAAATTCAACCCAACATAATTTTTCAACTGGGAGTGCTACAATTGGGAGAGCTTCTGTGAGTGGTTCTAGGAGGGGTGTAGTTGAGAGATGTACTGAGAGGGCTAGTTTTAGGAGTGATGTCATTGGCAGAGGTCTAGTGCAGCACAAAGGTCCAAGTTTAGTTTAGTCTAGAAGTTCAGTGCAACACAAAGGCCCACTCAGGCTAGTCCAATGTTAACATGTTCAGTCTACTAGAAATGTGCACAATGAAAGAAGTGGTCCAATTAGTGGCAAAAAAACTATATCCAGCATATTGGATAGAATTAGGGCTAGAAGAGCCACCAGATCAGCTGCTCAAGGCTAAGAAAAGCCCATAATTTAGTCTAAATATTTTTCATTTATGTTATATCAATTAGTAACAATCTATGTGCTATTTTGATTGTATTGAACATCTGAGTTCTTCTAGTTATATGGGAAGATGGTTGTGAGCATTTTGTTATTTTGGAAATTTGTTGTAAAGTTGTGTTGACATGGTTGTGACTTATGAGCATTTGGGTCATTTTTGGTAAGCAAAACTTGCAAAGTGGGATGAACTGGAAGCCAGGTTATGGTGCCCAACTGCGTGCTAACCTCGAACCCACAAAGGGTGTTGGTCGATTAAGACAACAAGATAGTGGTCATGGAAGTTGAAATCTGCAAAGGAGTGTATAACAACTCACCTGCCGAATCAACTAGCCTCGAAAATGGATGGCATTGAAGCGCATGAACTATACCCAATTGTTGGGGCAAGTATCAAGCCCCGATGAGTATGAGGGTGTAAGCCCGGGTAGAGTGGCCGTTGGTGTGGATCTTAGTGTTAGTCGCAAATATTCAAATGAAAACTTTGAAGGCTGAAAAGGGAAAAGGTTCCACTCGAATGACACTTGCACATGGGTTAGTCGATCCTAAGGGTTGGTGGAAGCCTGACAGAGAGTGCATTTCGTGGGTGTTCTAAAAGGAAATTAGGTTAAAATTCATGAACCGAGATGTGGCAGCTGACGATAACATTAGGGAGTTCAGAGATGTCGATGATGTCCTCGAGATGTGCTATTGTGTCAAGTTGTTGTTCATTACATGGACCAGGTTAACATTACAAACATTGCATAACATTCCATTAGATATAACAACTCCACATTACATTAAAGACAGAAAAGACCTTCAAAGCACAGACAACATATTTTTAGTTCTTGCTTAAGACTAAAACCAACACTGCCAAACAAAATATAGGTGCAATAAACATTCTCCTTAGCATAGACTACATGACCACTTGATCAGACTTCATGACCTCTTGATTAACTTCAATCATCATCATTTTATTGCTCAGTTTTGCAAGTTTATCATCATTGTCTGGAGTGGCAAACATACCAGTCGAGATACCCGAAACTGAAATGTGATAACATTATGCCTAGAATTCACAATTTTTAGTCCTGCAAACATAATACAATCTTCCCTTTGACGGTTTCTCGGAATCAACTACTTTGATTATCGCTTTACGCCCACACCCCCACATACTTGGATACTGAACCTCAAATCCATATGCTCCCCTCCCCATGAGTTGCTCAAGTATGACATCCATTTCTAACAAAACATTATTATGAAGTTGTTCCACACATTTTAAATGAAAATAATTAGAATAAGAAAGGCATAATCTTTATCATAGTAAGTTATTAGCCACTAGATTACTCAAAAAGCATGCTTAAATAAATTACCTTTATTTTGGTAGCTTCCGAAGGAAATGTAGACCTGAAGCTTAGAAAGCTTTTAACGTAGTGTAACAAGGTCATTTTTGACATTTGGCTATATTTATTTTGGAGGGAACTTCATTATTTCGTTGACAAATCGCCAAAGAAGCGCGTCATCACCACTTCCGACTGTTTTGATGTACAACCTAACATTTGCAGTTTAGTCCATCAGCAAGGGGTTTCTTGTGTTTATTTCCAAAGCATGGGGGGGGGTCATCTGCTAAGGGCACAAACTACGAGGGAGAATTTGCCCTGCCAGAATCCACCCCTGGACAACCCCTTATCCCTTTTTCTGGCTTCCCACCCCATTCTACCCTTCGTCTCACCCACACCAACTAACCCTTTCTCCTTCTTCTCCTATGGGCAAACCCACCCACCACTGAATACCCCTTCTTGGACCATACCTTTTCTCCCAATTTGATCTCTGTTCCCTTCGAAAACTCACCTTCAACTAGTCGCTTAGATATTTATTTGAATTTCCTATATTTTTCCTCTAATTTTAATTTCATATCTCAATAAGGGCGAAGTGTATATTTTTTAAAATTTTTTAACGAAGTCACCAAAGTTTAGCTTGTCAACAAACGTTGTGTCGCTGACTGTAAGTTAACCTCAAATCTCAAATGGATTTTATATAAATTTTCAAATCTCAAGGGATACATAATATAATAAGTTAGTCTTTTTTTTATTCAAGCACTATTATAGAGAAAGAAAATGACGTGATTTGAACCTGTAACTTTAGCACTGACAGTGACTATTAGGACAACCATTAACTTTGTACAATAAATAAGTTGGAGGTTAAGATAATGAGTTGAATGACTGACCCGAGGCTGCGCCCTGTACATGGACGCATGGACAAATATGCTGAGGCATGAAAATCGAATGCCTACTTTCTATGATGATAATTGACTAAGGCTCCTACCAAATCCATATAGATTAATTTTATTTTTTAAGCATTACAACATGAATTGGACGTGTAATTTGACCTTAATGCAACACTTGGTACTTGAATGTAATGGATTTTCGAATGATTCCATATGGAACAAACAAGAAGCTGTCTCAGCTGTTCTATATGCAATTAAATTAAATTATGGCTCCCAATCAAGTAATAGCATTCTTTAAAGCCTTTTGGAAAATGCTACACAAACTTATCCTATTGACTTAAAAATTATAGTGTCGTATATGAAAATCGCTCGACTAAATTTAACTTAACAAAATTTTATTTCAAAATTTTTGAGATCGACTACATAAATCTTCTTTCACCATTATTATCTATCAAGTGTTATGTTTTATGTTAAATCATAAATTATCATATCTTTTTTTATTATTTTATTTAAAACTAATTTTTTTCTTCTTCATCCTATACATTTACCATCCATAGCTATCATATCACTTTTTTCTTATTATGTCTTAATATGCCATCTATTTTTTCTCAAATTATTTCCTATATGTTCTTACATGTACTTTTTACGGATATGTTCATTCCTAATTATATCCTCCCTAGTTTTACTATACATTAATCTTAACAATCTCATTCCCGACATACACAATTTTTTAATAAAACATAGCGTCTTATGACTGTTGATAGAAATTTCTTTTTAGCTTTAGGGTAAGTGTCTATCACACAATATACTAGATGCATTTATCCTTTTAATCCATCCTACATTAATTCTTTGAGTAACACTTTCACTAATCTCTGAATCTCCTTGAATAATAGACTTTAAATATTTTAAATGTTTACTCTTTGATATTTTTTGACTTTTATATGAAGATGACTACAGTATCGAATTTTTTTTACGATATCATACCAAAAATACCACCATTGAGGGGAAAGTGACGCCTTATAAAGGATAAATTATAATTATTTGTGATCGATCACAATATTTTTTGTGGAAGAGGTTGTGATTGAATGAAGAGAGAGAACTGAATTTTTATGTTGGCAGATAGGAGATGATAGAGAAAGGGTTCCTTCCAAGATTTTGTCTTTATTTGGGGTTTTTTCCATACAATATGTTACTGGGTCGAATCAAGTAAATACTATGGGGACCACTTTATAATTTGGGGCACTCTTTTTTGGAGGTGAATGTATATCCAAGTAAAGGCCTAATGAAAAATAAAGGCTGCCCATTTGAATGTGGGGAACTTATGAAATTGGACTGGGGACTTATATATAAGTTCAAAAGTTCCCACACAAGAAGAACAAAATGAAAGGATCGTAATTTGGTTCATGAGCCTGTGCTCCAGCATTGAGTATCTCTCACATTGTAGCAGAAAACAAGCAGCGACCTGAGGCTTAAAGCGATAGTTAAAAATGAGATTTTTTATTTTTAATATTAACAATTTTTTATTTAAAATTTATTCTTTTTTTAGATTAAAAGTATTATTATTTTTTATGTTTAACTAAAATATTTTTTTATATTGATAATATCATTAATCGATCTAGTCATTCTTATGATAATCAATCTTAGGAAATATTTTATCAATTTTAATTTTGAAAATTTTCTTTTAATTTTAAATAATCATGGTCTAATGATTTTAATTTTTTAAGTTTAATAAAAAATTAAAAATATTTTGGTATATTTTTGGTAATAGAAATAAAAAAAAATCATAACAAAAAAAGAAGAAGAAGATATATGTTAGTAGAGGCCGAGTGAGAGATAGGACGTTAGTTTACTAGATGAAGAAATGTATCTATATATATATATATATATATATATATATATATATATATATATATATATATATATTTGAGAGATATGTTTGAGAGAGAGAGAGAGAGAGAGAGAGAGAGAGAGAGAGTGGTTACAAATGAGTGGTGTATTTTGATTGACCATTTGGAATTTTTTTTGACCTTTAATTTTAGCATTTTAAACAAAAAATTATTTTGGTATATTTTTAATATTTTGGGTTTAGTTCATGATCCCAAAATTACTTATATTTATTTTGATTGAGTTTAGATTTTTATAAGAAATTTTTTGGGGCCTAAAATCGTTTGGATCTATTTATTTTTTTTTGGACTAACTATACAACTAGAAAATTTTGGACCTTCTTTGAAAATAGAGCCTAAAACCCCAACTTTGTTTACCTTGTGCTAGGGGTCGACACTCTGAGTCTTTGACCCAATGATTAGAACAATTTATATCATAAAATATAATATAATTCAAATTTTAAAAATAAATAAAATACCTTTTACTTTTTATAGTTGAATTCTCTTTAAATTTTATTTTAAAATTAATTCGACGGCTAATATTAACATCCCAAATTTAATAGATAAAATAAATCTCTAATGGTTTGTTTGAAATGACTTTTTAAAAGTACTTGTAGAATTTATAACTTCTCATGAGTATTTTAAAAAAATAATGTTTGAAACTCTTTCACCACAACTACCACCATCATCGTTGCCACCTCC